CTACTGTCTGAACAACTTCCTCCCTCCGCTCGAATCTCGGACCTTCTTGCAGAGAAGGCAAGAGAGAAATCCAGTTAGAAATACACCAGCTTTACCCTTTTCTTAATTAAGAGTCAGCTTTCCAGTCGGGTTCGGTGGCTCAGCCTGTAATCCTGCGCCTTTGGGAGGCTGAGGTGAGTGGATTGCCTGAGCCTGCGGGTTCGAGACCCGCCTGGGCAGCGAGACCTCATCTCTACAATAAATCAAAAAATCAGCCGGGCGTGGTAGCGCATGCCTGTAATACCGGCTCCTTGGAAGGCTGAGGCAGAAGGATCACCGGAGCCCAGCAGGTCGAGGCTGCGGTGGCCGGGAGCGGCCACTGCACTCTAGTCTGGGCGACAGAGTGAGACTCCGACTCAAAAAAAAAAGAGTCAGCTTTCCAGTAGAGAGGGCAGCTTGGCCCTTTCTCCTTCACTTTTAAGGCCTCCAAGTCATTTGTTTAAATGTGAAATAAAACATCCTGGGGCATATGTCAGAGGATTCAGATTCAAGTACTGGTTATATCAAAAACTAGGACACTTCAGCAAGACACTGCAATCCCCTGAGATTTCATTTCCTCATCTTCAAAATGGGAATAACAACACCTGTCCTGTCTATATCCTTGAAAAGTGATTGTGAAGTTCAAAGAAGGTATAATATACCTTTAAAAGCTCTGCAATTGTCAAGGACTTACTGTGCTCCCGACTCTCAGAAGACATTTTTCTGTATGAAACATGTCAGAGCAGAATGCTAACTATCATCCCTTGAATCTTGACTTAGTTAATTATGCTAAAAATGTTCTGGAATGAGAAGCACAGCCTCACAGCGTCCATGGAAAGACTAGAATTGTAAGGAAACATAATTTTGAGATGGGCTAGACGGTAGGTAAAGTAACAGCGTTCCTGCATGAATTTGTTATTTCCCAATGTTTAAATTCTTAGTTTCATTTCTGCTGCTGAAATTCTGTGATGAGGATGTCTAGGAAGGCGAGTCTTAGGCTTACCTACCAGAGGCCCCTTCCAGCAATAAAGATCTGTGACTATAGAGGTAAAAATAACATTTTTAATGGGACAATGATCATAAAGCTTTTCCAAAGCTGCTTCTTATTGGATTTTTATGAGGTTCCTGTAAGAAAAGTAAAGCAGTATTCTTTCTCTCGTTTTATACTTGCACAAAAAGACGCCAAGTAACTTACAGCTGACCAGTTGCAGAAACAGGCTAGAATAATGAATAGAGATGGAATATATATTGGAGCTCTAATCCAACCACCTTGTTTTATCTTATTTTTAAATTTTTATTTTTTAGATTCAAGGGGTACATGTGTAGATTTTTTACATATGTATATAGCATGGTGATGAGGTCTGGGCTTCTATTGAGCCGATCACCCATGTGGTGGGCATGATACCCAGTGGGTAGTTTTTCAGCCCTTATCTCCCTTCCTCTCCCCTTTAGGAGTCTCCAAAACCTGTTTTTCTCATCCTTATGCCTGTGTGTATCCAGTGTTTAGCAACCTCTTGTAAGTGAGAACATACAGTATCCCGTTTTCTGTTTCTGTGATAATTCACTTAGCACGATGGCCTCCAACTGTATCCATGTTGCTGTAAAAGACATTATTTTGTTCCTTTTTTATGACTGCATAGTATTCCATGGTGTATATGTATCACATATCACATCTTCTTTGTCCAGTCCACCGTTGATGGGCACCTAGGTTGGTTCCTTGTTTTTGATTGTGTGTAGTGCTACCTTTGTGGGTAGTGCTGTGATAAATATAAAAGTGCAGGTGTCTTTTTGGTAGAATGATGTATGCTACTTTGGATCTATACTCAGTAATGGCATTGCTGGATAGAATAGTAAATCTATTTTTAGTTCTTTAAAAAAATCTCCAAACTGCTTTCCGTAGGGGCTGAACTAGCTTACTTTCCCACCAGCAGTGTAGGAGTGTTCCCTTTTCTCTACAACCTCACCAACATCTGTTTTTTCTAAGTTGGAGTCTCACTCTGTCGCCCAGGCTGGAGTGCAGTAGCATGCTCACAGCCACCGCAGCCTTGACCTGCTGGGCTCAGGTGATCCTTCCACCTCAGCCTTCCAAGTAGCTGGAACTACAGGCATGTACCACCACACCCAGCTAATTTTTTTGATCTGTTGTAGAGATCAGGTCTTGCCAAGTTGCCCAGGCTGATCGTGAATCCCTGGGCTCAGTCAATTCTCTCACCTCAGTCTCCCAAAATGCTGGGATTACAGATTTGAGCCACCGTGCCTGACCTGTTTTTTGACTTTTTAATGAGAGCCATTCTGACAGGTATAAGATGGTATGCATTGCTAATCCCTTCATTTTATAGAAGGACAAACTGAGGCCCAGAGAGGCATAGGACTTGCCTAGGGACACACAGTTAGCAGCAGTACCAGGAATAAAACTTAAGGCTGTCAGTCTAGGGCTCTTGTCCAGCTAGTCTAGGGATGCAGACTTCTTGACTCGGGCCTCAGGTTCATTTTTCTGCACCTCATCACTAGTCCTGCCCTGCTCAGAAATGGCCATGATTTCCCTTCCCTCAGGCACTAAATGGGCTTGGCTCTACACACCCTCCCAGGACAAGTCAGGACCGATGCAGTTAGGACTAGAACCCCTAGTACTGTGATTCCACCTGGCTGCCTGGGTCCCAGGAGAACTGTTTTCACTGTACCCAGACACCACAGCCACTCCCATGGACTTTCAGAGGTGGCTCCCCAGGAAAGTGGCCCCAGCCCTAACCAAGTGGGTGAGGCATGTTGGCACAAGCTTTCAGGCCACAGTGGGGTGAATCACCTAAGGGGCAGAGCCCTCAAGCTTCCTCTCCATTTGGCTCAGGCCTTGGGCTGCCCAGGAGAGAGGATGAGTGGAGGAGAAGACCTGGTGCTTGGACTTTAAGGCAGGGAGGAATGGTCTAGGCACTGCCTCTATGAAGTGGGGCAGGATGACAGTGAGTGGAGCTCAGAGTCCCTAAGAGAACACTGGACAAGCCCCCAGGAACATGGAAGCCTAGAAGGGAAATGACTCTCCCCCTGGAGGGTTAGTGGTCCACTGGGATGAGAACTGAAGCTCCACCTCCCAGTTCTGCCTCTCCTCCTGGAATCAAGCCCTTGTCAGACTGTCACCCCTCCACCCCCACCATTCATCCCTGTTCTTTCTGTCATACAGAGTGGGCTGTTTCTCTTACCTTTGCAAGAGGAAACTGAGGCACAAAAAATGGGCTCGCAGGCCAGGCATGGTGGCTTACACGTGTAATCCCAACACTGTGGGAGGCAGAGATGAGCGGATTGCCTGAGTCCAGGGGTTCGAGACCAGCCTGGGCAACTTGGCAAGACCTCGCCTCTACAATAAATCAAGGAATTAGCCAGGCGTGGTGACACATGCCTGTGGTTCCAGCTACTTGGAAGGCTGAGGTGTGGAAGGATCGCCGGAGCCCAACAGGTCGAGACTGTGGTGGCTGTGAATGTGCCACTGCACTCCATCCTGGGCGACAGAGTGTGACTCCAATTCACAAAAAGAAAAAAGGGCTCCAGGAGCAGGGGGAGTCTCAACGCTGCCACCTCCTCACCCAGGGATGTAGACCTGCTTCCACTCAACAGAACTTCCGAGCACTCAGCACAGACAGTATCAAAGGGCTCTTTCTGTGTGTAATTTAAATATTTTTGAATATACGCATATTAAGCATACAATAAGTATAAGAGAGCGCATAAATCCTGGTAATCCCTATTATAATACTTCAGTGCTTTTATGGAAATATAAAATGTCAAGTTCTTAAAATTTCTGTCCCTCATTCTTCCATTGCTTCTGTTTGGCTGGTGTCCCGGGCACACGTTCACTCTGCTTACTGGGAATTCAACTCTGCCTTGCAAACCACAGGGGCCCAGAGATAAGTCAGGAAGAAATGCCATGACTGCCCTTCTGAGGGACCCCGGAAAAGGCCTCCACCTCTATTCTGCCCTCCGCCCCACCTTGCCTGCCCAAATACCAGACACAGCAGCCCAGCCAGGAAACAGGAGACGCTGCCAGTCAATTTCCCCTCCCTCCCCTTCTGGCCAAGGCTTCATAGTTCCAGAACCAGAGCCAACTCCCTGATAAGGGCTGGGCGGGTTTGTGGAGAGAGGCACAAGGGAGTGCCAGACATGCTGACCCATGACCCGGTCTCTGCCGAGTCCCCAGCAAAACTGTTTCTAAGCAGACATAATTTCCTGGCTTCCTTTAGAAAACTCTCTGTCCTGGAAGGCTGAGTGGAAGGATCGCCGGAGCCTAGCAGGTTGAGGCTGTGGTGGCCGGGAGCATGCCACTGCACTCCAGTCTGGGCGACAGAGTGAGATTTCAACTCCAAAAAAAAAAAAAAGAAAGAAAGCCCTCTGTCCATCCTCACAGGGGGAAAGGGAGGAGGCAAAGAAGAGAGCAAGGCACACTGCAGAGGTGAAGCAAGTCTGAGACAGAAGCACCTGAACTGAGAACAGAGGTGTAATGCCTTGTTCAAAGCAGTTTGCATTTTACAGATGGGTTGCATTCCAAAAGTCTGTTGTTAATTTTCCCTCTGAGGTAAATAAACTAGACCAACTGTTTGTTGAACATTGCCTATGTATCAGATACTATGCTAGATGTGCAATGCTTTATTTAATCCTTCTGAAAATATTGTGAAATTAACCTTGTTTTCAGTCTGTGGGTAAAGAATCAGAGGCTCAGCTGGGCTTGGTGGCTCAGCCTGTAATCCCACGCTTTGAGAGGCTGAGGTGAGAGGATTGCCTGAGCCCGCGGGTTCGAGACCCACCTGGGCAACTTGGCGAGACCTTATCTCTACAATAAATAAAAAATCAGCTGGCTGTGGTAGTGCGTGCCTGTAGTTCCAGCTACTTGGAAGACTGAGGCGGAAGGATCACTGGAGCCCAGCAGGTCGAGGCTGTGGTGGCCGGGAGTGGCCACTGCACTCCAGTCTGGGCGACAGAGTGAGACTCCAACTCAAAAAAAAAAAAAAGAATCAGAAGCTCAGAGAAGTTAAGTAATTTGTCCCCAGCTACCCAGCAGAGTCAGGATTGGGAACAGATTCTCATCCCCAAACCCATGACTGTATCCAAAAATAGTGTACATTTGCAAACAGAAAAAAAAAGAAGAAATCAGAAATACTAATAAACTAATGCAGAAAAACAATAAAACGGACTCAGAAAGTGTTCTGTTACCTAGAATGAGGTGCCCTTATGGAAAGTGACTTTATTGAGAAGAAGATGTGTAAGTTGCTGAAGACAGATGTAAATGAAATCCAAAAGGGGAGGCTGGATACTTGTAAAGACTTAGGAAGTTGCTGATCCTGGGTTTTAGTGTCTAGATTCATTCCCACCTTGTGCATTTTCCTTTAGATAGCAGCTATGATTGGAATTATTCTGAATTAAGAAATGCAGCATGGTGGGTGTGGTGGTGTGCACCTGTAGTCCCAACTATTCAGGAGGTTAAGACAGGAGGATTACTCAAGCTCAGGAGTTTGGAGCTGCAGTGCTCTACCATCTTGCTTGTGAATAGCACTCTAGCCTTGGCAACATAATAAGACCCTGTCTCTAAAATACAAAAAAGAAATACAGCAAAGAAAAGTGAGGGTAAGAGAACAAGAAAGGCACAAAATTATTTCTGTATAAGTAACACAAAAAGGAAGGATAAAAATTAAGAGTGCCAGGTGCAGTGGCTCACACCTGTAATACCAGAGCAGTTTGAGAGGTGGAGGCGAGAGGATTGCCTGAGCCCATGGGTTTAAGACCAGTTGGGCAACATGGTGAGACCTCGTCTCTACAACAAATCAAAAATTAGCCTGGTATGAAGGCACATGCCTGCAGTTCCAGCTACTTGGGAGGCCGAGGTGGAAGGATCACCTGAGCCCAGGAGGTTGAGGCTGCGGTGGCTTTGAGTGTGCCACTGCACTCCAGTCTGAGTGAAAGAGTGAGAGTCTGACTCAAAAAAAAAAATGTGGAGAGTTTTGTTTTTGTTTTTGTTTTGTTTTTTGAGTCAGAGTCTTACTCTGTTGTCCAGGCTGGAGTGCAGTGGCACGCTCATGGCCACTGCAGCCTCAACCTGTTGGGCTCAGGCGATTCTTCCGCTTCAGCCTTCCAAGTAGCTGAAACTACAAGCGCACTCCACCACACCCGGTTTATTTTTTGGTTTATTGTAGAGATGAGGTCTCACCAAGTTGCCCAGGCGGGTCTCAAACCCCCGAGCTAGGACAATTCTCTCGCCTCAGCCCCACAAAGTGCTAGGATTACAGGCTTGAGCCACTGCACCCGGCCAAAGAGAGTTTTTATGTCTATATAAGAATTAAGAACATGAGGTGACACTTTTTTTTTTCTTTCTTTCTTTCTTTTTTTTTTGAGTTGGAGTCTAACTCTGTCGCCCAGATTGGAGTACAGCAGCATAATTACCGCTCCCTGCCGCCTTGAACTCCTGGGCTCAGGCGATCCTTCGGCCTCAGTCTCCCAAGTAGCTGGGACTATAGAAGCACCACCATGCCTGGCTAATTTTCTTTTTAATTTAATTTTTTTTTGTAGAGACGAGGTCTTGCTATGTTGCCCAGGCTGGTCTTGAACTCCTATGTTCCAGCAATCCTCCCGCCTCAGCCTCCCAAAGTGCTGGGATTACAGGCATGAATCACCACGCCTGGCCATGACATAACATTTTTATCCAGGGTGACATTGATGTCACTTTATTGGTAAGAAAGGCAAACAGAAAGCCAAATGTGTCCTCGGGCCAAAGGGTAGGACTGGTGATAGATGAGGATAACAAGACATGCTTTTCTCCACTGGCTTCAAAGAACTTGGTCACTGAGAGAGTAGCTTCCCGGGGCTTAAGGGCAAGCAGAGTCAAAGACACCTGAACCCTGAGATGTTCTCTAATTATGCTAATTTCCCCAGAGGGTCTCATTCAGGTGGATGGCTTTTTATCAGCTACATGCTGAAAGATTCTGGCTGCTGCTTTGAGCTCTAGGAAGTGCCGGTGCCACTTTGACATCACCACATTAATCTTCTTCCCACTCATCTGCTGTCCCCTGGGACTTCCTCATACGGTAAATGGTACCACTTTCTAAGCCAAAAGCTTAGGAGCCATCCCGTATCCATTTTCCCTAAGTAATCCATCGGCAAGACTGAAATAAACCTGTCCATCTTATCCGGGCTCACGGCCTTGACTCTAACTCTGATGTCATCTCGTGCTCTGTTTCTTCGCACTTACTGTGCTCCAGTCCTCCTTCTGTTCCTGAAACATGTCAGTGTCATTCCTAGCTCGGGGCTTTTGCATTTGCCTTTCCCTCTGCCCTTTCCCACCTCGTTGCATAGCTGGTTTCTCATTCTTTAGGACTCAGATCAAATATCATCTCACGCCTGTAATCCCAGCACTTTGGGAGGCAGAGGCGAGAGGATGGCCTCAGTCCAGGGGTTTGAGACCGGCCCGGGGAACTTGGCGAGATCTTGTCTCTACAATAAATCAAAAAATTAGCCTGGCATGGTGGTGTGTGCCTGTGGTTCCAGCTACTTGGAAAGCTGAGGCAGAAGGATCGCCTGAGTCCAGTAGGTCAAGGCTGCGGTGGCTGTGAGCGTGCCACTGCCCTCCAGCTAGAGTGACAGAGCGAGACTCTGACTCAAAAAAAAAAATCAGCTTCTCAGAGAGTCCTTCCTTGACCGCCTCTAAATTATTCTCAATCATGTCGCTTGGTTTCTTTTCTTCATAGCACCAATTATCTCCTTTATGTATTTGCTACCTTTGTTTTTATTGTTTATCTCTGTTCACTAGCATGTAAGTTCCTTTAGAGGTTTCTTGTCTACTATTGAACCTAGCGGGGTACCTAATACATTGCATGAATTAAATGATTGAAGGAGGGAAGGAAGTTGTAGGTTTCTAATTAAAAACATACATCTTTAGAGAGTAAAGTGTTTTTTTTTCATGTTTATTTTAAAGATGTGGGGAGAAAGTCAAGTTTTTATATCGATTATAAGGTTAAGGGCAAGTGTATTTGTTGTTCATAGGACTTTAAATAGATTTGCATTTTGAGGAAGGAGAATTGTTTAGGAAGAAGCCAGAATTAGAGAATTCCCAAACTAGGTATGGCAGAGTCAGCACTTGATTAGCTCCTAATCAATACCAGAGATATTCTAGAGTTTCATTAGATATTCTTAGTTGTTTCAGGAGCAAATTTAATGCATATGAATAGTACATATGTATTTAACACATTTGTAATAGGTACTCTGGATGGAGTCCCTCCTGTGTGACAGGCACTGTTCTAAGTGCTTTATAAGCACTATTGTGATTAGTCCTCACAAAAAAGAAAGAAAGAAAAAACTGTGGTTTAGAGAAGTACCCTCCTAGCTGGAATTCAAGCCTAGGCGGGTCTGACCCCGGAGTCTGTGACTCTACTGTCCACATGCCCTGCTGAATTTCTGGCAATACCATGACATATGCAGGGTGGGTAGGACTGCTGGCCCAGTTTTAGAGATAAGAAGCTAAAGTTCAGAAATATTGTATGACTTGCCTGAGACCATCCAGCTAGTCAGTGATGGCCTGGAATTGAGTCCAGGTCCTTTCTACTTTTTTTTTTTTTTCTTTTTCTTTTCTTTTTTTTTTTTTGAGTCGGGGTCTCACTCTGTCACCCAGGCTGGAGTGCAGTAGCATGCTCACAGCCACTGTAGCCTCAACCTGCTTGGCTCACAATCCTTCCACCTCAGTCTTCCAAGTAGCTGTAACTACAGGTGTAGGCCACCATGCCCAACTAATTTTTTGATTTATTGTAGAGACAAGGTCTTGCCATGTTGCCCAGGCTGGTCTCAAACCCCTGGGTTCAGGCAATCCTCTCTCCTCAGCCTCCCAAAGTGCTGGGATTACAGTTGTGAGCCACTGCGCCCTGCTTTTTTCTTTTTTTCTTTTGAGACAGGGTCTCTCTGTAGCCCAGGCTGGAGTGCAGTGGTACAATCCCAGCTCACTGCTGTCTTGATCTCCTGAACTCAAATGACCCTCCCATCTCAGCCTCCCGAATAGGTGGGACTACAGGCACACACCACCACACCTGGCTATTTTTATTTATTTTTTTGTAGAGACAAGGTCTTGCTATGTTGCCCAGGTTGGTCTCAAACTGCTAAGTGCAAGTGATCTTCCTGCCTCGGCCTCCCAAAGTGCATGAGCCACCGCCCCTGGCCCCTTATGTCTTTAATCTCAGGATTCTGCTTTAGTTTACAGGCCCCCTTGGGATAAGAAAGAGATGAGACTGGGCAGAATGTATGTGCCATGGGTCCTTGAAGACCAAAGGTGGGGAGAGGACGCTGCACGGTAGGAAAAGCTGATATTCTCTCCCCCAGGCATTCCTGCAGAAGTACGGATACCTCAATGAACAGGTCTCCAGTGCGCCCACGGCCGCTCGATTCAGCAATGCCATCAGGTAGGATGGAGAGATGTGGAGGCCTCGGGGGCTGCCAGGGTACAAAACTCCCACCATTTCCTCCCTCCCGCTGGAAAGCTGGCAGGCCATGCTCCAGGGAGGCAGGTCTTCAGTCCTCAGCCCTACCCTCCACCTCCCTTTGTGGTCCTTTATCTCAATTCCTCCTGACAGAGAGTTTCAGTGGGTGTCCCAGCTACCCATCAGCGGTGTGCTGGACCGCGCCACCCTGCACCAGATGACTCGTCCCCGCTGCGGGGTTGCAGATACTGACAGTCATGTGACCTGGACTGAGAGGATGAGTGCATTGTTTGCTGGACGTCGGGCCAAAATGAGGCGTAAGAAACGCTTTGCAAAGCAAGGTGAGCACTGTAAAAATCCAGCTAGGCTGAGATTTCCCAGCGTCCTGAAACCCATGGCTAGAAAAACAGCTCAGCCTGGGGCTGCGCCTTCATCAGTAACCTCTCTTTCCTAAGGCGACGGTGGGGGCGGGGCGGTGGGCGAGTAGGACCTCTAGACTTGAGGACTATGATTGTGAATACAGGTGTTTAAATCAGAACAATACCTACACTGACAAATGATCATCATGAAAGTGTTTTCCGATATACAGTTGGCAAATATTTTTTCTCATTCTTTGGGTTGTCTCCCTGCTCTCTTGATGGTTTCTTTTGCTTTGCAGAAGCTCGTTAATTTGATGAGGTCCCACTTGTCTATCTTATTTCTTAAGGTATTGGCCTTTAAGGTTCTGTGTTTATATACCTAACCCTAAGTTGTACCCCACATATTTTATAATAAAAATTTAAAAAATAAAATAAAATCAATCTGATCAAATAAAGATGACAATTAAATAGAAAAAAAAAAGAAAAAGAAAGTGTTTTCCAGATCAAATTCCATCAAGTCTACTTAATTCTTTAATCAATTTTCCGTATTGGATAGTTAAACTGTTGCCAACATTTTTCATTTATATTTTACTGGAGTGATTTTAATCAAAATCAGTTCTTTTTTTCTTTTCTTTTTTTGAGTCGGGGTCTTACTTTGTCACTCAGACTGAGGTGTGCAGTGGCACAATCACGGTTTACTGCAGCCTCGACCTCCTGGGCTCAGGAGATCCTTCTACCTCAGTCTCCTGAGTAGCTGGGAATACAGGTACACCCAGCTAATTTTTTTTTTTTTTTTTTTTTTGTAGAGACAAGATCTCACTGTATTGCCCAAGCTGATCTTGAACTCCTAGGCTCAAGGAATCCTCCTGCCTTGGCTTCCCAAAGTGCTGGGATTACAGGCATGAGCACCATGCCTGGCTGGAATCAATTGTTTTTTTGGTAACAGTTATTCAACAAAGATGTGATCCATTGACCAGTTTTATTTTATTTTGTCCATAGTACATTTTTAACAGCTTTATTGAGATATCATTCACGTGTCGTACAATTTACCCATTTAAAGCATAGAATTTAGTGGTTTCACTTCAGTTAGGATATTTGCAGAATTGCACAATCATAACCACAATCTAATACCAAAACATTTTCATCATCCCAAAAAAGAAACCCCATACCCATTAACAGTCACTATCCACCCTCCCCTCCCCCAGCCTCTGGCAATCACTAACCAACTGCCTTTCTCTATGGATTTGCCTATACTGAACATTTCATCATATCACATTTTACATATTACAGTTTCAGCTGTTGTGATTTTCTTGTAGCTTTGTTTTGCTTCTTTCTTTTCTACTCCTCCTCCTTCTTTTTTTCCAAATCCACTGTTACAGGGTTACATGGTACAGCACTAAGATTCACAAAGATTTGATTTTTCTGTTAATTTTCCACAAATAATAAGTTTTACTAGCCGTGCTGGTGGCTCAGCCTGTAATCCCGCGCCTTTGGGAGGCTGAGGTGAGTGGATTGCCTGAGCCCGCGGGTTCGAGACCTGCCTGGGCAACTTG